ATAGTAAAAACAATATATTTATTGAAAAAAACAGTCAGACACTTCTATGTCGGGACCCCGCCAGTCAGCAGTCGATTAAACTGATATAGGTGGTAGCGCGCGTCAATAAGCATATAACCATGTCGAATAATAATTTCACCAAAAGTGTTTTCGCATAGCTGAAATTTGGCAAGGTAATAGTAAAAACAATATATTTATTGAAAAAAACAGTCAGACACTTCTATGTCGGGACCCCCGCCAGTCAGCAGTCGATTAGAGTGATATAGGTGGTACCGCGTCATTAGGCATATATCCATGTCGAATAATAATTTCACCAAAAGTGTTTTCGCATAGCTGAAATTTGGCAACGTAATAGTAAAAACAATATATTTATTGAAAAAACAGTCAGACACTTCTATGTCGGGACTCCCTCAGTCAGCAGTCGATTAAAATGATATAGGTGGTAGCGCGCGTCAATAGAATTTTACTCTATATACATATATCCATTTCGATGAATAATTTTATTTTTATAATTTAAATTATTTGGAATCGGAAACGGTAAAATAAAATTGTACATGCAGTTAAAAAGTTTGCGGTTAGAAAAAAGCCCGATTCGTATAAATATTACTTGACCATTTAATCAGCAGTACTGTGATAGTATACCTATAGTAATTAAATAAATTCAGTTTTAATTATATTTATTGTAGTTTCATTAAATACTTATAATCATCGCCGATTTTATAAAATACAAAAAAAAAAAATTCTAATCACATCTCCCGCTTCCCTTCCCCTAATCTCGACCTAACAGTACCATAATGAAGTTTCCGAATTCGAATGCATATACGCCTTATTCAAGTATACGCGCTTACGCTTGCAACTTACAGGTTTACACTTACTCATTAAGAGAAAAAAAAATGTATTTTACCGTTTCCGATTCCAAATAATTTAAATTATAGAAATAAAATTATTCATCGAAATGGATATAATATATAGAGTAAAATTCTATTGACGCGCGCTACCACCTATATCACTTTAATCGACTGCTGACTGAGGGAGTCCCAACATAGAAGTGTCTGACTGTTTTTTTCAATAAATATATTGTTTTTACTATTACCTTGCCAAATTTCAGCTATGCGAAAACACTTTTGGTGAAATTATTATTCGACATGGATATATGCCTAATGACGCGCGCTACCACCTATATCACTCTAATCGACTGCTGACTGGCGGGGTCCCGACATAGAAGCGTCTGACTGTTTTTTTCAATAAATATATTGTTTTTACTATTACCTTGCCAAATTTCAGCTATGCGAAAACACTTTTGGTGAAATTATTATTCGACATGGATATACGCCTAATGACGCGCGCTACCACCTATATCACTCTAATCGACTGCTGACTGGCGGGGTCCCGACATAGAAGTGTCTGACTGTTTTTTTCAATAAATATATTGTTTTTACTATTACCTTGCCAAATTTCAGCTATGCGAAAACACTTTTGGTGAAATTATTATTCGACATGGTTATATGCTTATTGACGCGCGCTACCACCTATATCAGTTTAATCGACTGCTGACTGGCGGGGTCCCGACATAGAAGTGTCTGACTGTTTTTTTCAATAAATATATTGTTTTTACTATTACCTTGCCAAATTTCAGCCATGCGAAAACACTTTCGGTGACGTGATTTTTTTGACCACTTCAAAGTCGCGCTGACTCTACGTGTCCCTGTATTTCTTTGTCTGACTGTTAAATTATGGTTCTACATTATATTCGCATGCTCTTCGCAAATTTTCAGCTTTGCGAAAACTGTTGCGAGGTGTTGATTAAAAATACACCTTTGCGCGCATCTCAGCTCCAGGTGTCCCGGAACTGGAACTGCTGACTGTAGCCTAGCTTTGTAGCACTAAAATACTACTCATTCTGAAAATATGAGCCTTGCGAAAACTCTTGCATATTTTCGACGCCAGCTCCTGGACTATAAGTAGCAATTAGACTCATCCATTACAGCGTAAAAGTGCTTCGCACTAACGCTATGACAAACTCATAAGAAGAAGAAGGAGTCCTTTGCTAGGCTGTATTCAGGTAAATTTATGGATGTGCTTATGAGTGTAAAATGGCAGTGGAACCCAGAAATCCTTTTTGGGAATGTGTAGAAATCCATTCCAAGACATAGTGTTCATTTTTCTACTCTACCTATCAAGTATCAATGTACTTCTGCCTGTAAAAAACTGGAATTGAAGAAATCTGTGCTGCTCATGTCTTGACAAGAAAACATTTTTGCAAATATAGGTACTTATATCTGGTTCCAGAATCAATGATCATCAATGACATCAATTAAACAATTTCATCACAAAAGATAATGTTACCCCCGCCACCTGATTGTGACGGTTGGGTAAGGGAGACTTTGTTTTAGCACTGGTAAAGGCCTTTTTGTACCGCGGTAGCGTGCCACCAGGGACTGTTTAAAGTCTCACTGAAAATCTAGGTAGCTTTGAACGGATACTTTTTAGTAATATGATTAGATCGCCTCTTGCAGTACGGGTTCTTGCAACCTGAGCTGTACGCAGTTAGTTGGAATGCTTGCTCTGGGTTTTCCAAGGGAAATAAAAGAACCAGTTTTTCTTACTGAACTGTTAAATTGGTTTATTGAACAAATGGTAAATCTTGGTGAGGAAATAAAAGAAAAGCAAAGAATATACAGTAAGTTATTAACAATGTTTACTAAAATGAAATAAAAGAAAATGCATACGGAGATTTGGAATGATAGGAAGTGAAATCAATGAGCGTCTTGTATAGGGCGTTCCTTGATGGTACAATTTACATGAGAAATTAAGGATTAAAATATACAAAAAATAAAGACTAGGTTATAGTTCTTAATGGGTAAAAAGTCACGGGCGTCCTCGACAAGGAAATGACAAAACGACCTTGTTATTCAGGGAAAGATACATGTTGGAAAAGAGATTTAAGTTCTGAAGCTAACCCAACGGTTTTGTTCTTTACACAGAGGAGAAAATGAATAATAGACAGAAAACAACAACCATGACGAATAAATTAAAATAATTTAAATTACCTAAGGTCTCGGAAAGAGAGTCAGCAGAAAGACATCAACACTAAACACCAGAACCTTGTTACAGAACTGAATGAATCTAGGAGGCTCACAGGCCTATTTATATTGGCAGTTTGATGACGCATTTGGGATTCTTATCGGTCGCAGAACATGCGATTTGTTCATGGAACCAGGAGTCGAGAGTCGTGTTTTAAGACACAATCATCACACTCTTTCGGAAACCGACTGATAACCCTTGTCTCTTGACACGGTTTCGTCAGAAATTTAGCGACTTAATCTAGCTGCGTAAAAAAACCAAGTAAATGTATTACGAAGCAAAAAAAAAAAAGAATTTTTAGGCCATTCTATTACAATAATCCAAATTCCATTTCTCATGTACATACCTATAATAGATAAGAAATCTGGATAAAGGTTAGACAACCCAATATTTCTCAAACAAATTCCATCAGCTATTGAAATGTCAGGTCGAAGATGTGATCTTTTGGGATGAATCACATCCACAGATCAAGAATGATTCACCGCTTTGTAATGATTGGCAACACAAACAAGCCAAAAACGATAACTTCTTCTTCTTCAAGTACCATGTTCTCTTCGAACGTTGGCTATCATCTGCGCAATTTGCACCTTGTCCACTGCTTTTCTGAATACCAATTGTCTAAGATTTTTTAGCCATGATATTCGTCTACGGCCTGGAACTCTTTTTCCTTCAATTTTTCCCTATATTATATGGTGAATAAAACTTCAAGCTCCTTCTCTATTCTAAGAAGAACATCCGCGTTACGTACTCTGTTCATCCAAGATATTCTAAGATAGCACCACATCTCAAATGCTTCCAATTTTCTACTCATGGCATCAGTTAATGTCCACGCCTCTACACCGTAATATCAAATGATAAACACATAACAACGAAGCACACGAGTTCGGAGAGTGCTATTAAGATCGCGACTACACAACACCGACTTCATTTTAATGAAAGACAATCTAGCTTGTTCGATTCTTGCCCGGACCTCTTGCATGTTGTTCCAGTTTTCATTGAGCTGACAACCCAGGTATTTCTAAGAATTGACGCGTTCGACTTATTGGCTATTGACTTCTAATATGCCCCTAATTTACCTTTCTTCACCTATAACCATCCATTTTGTTTTTCCTACATTTAAGTTAAGTCCAAATTGCGAGCTTTCTTCTTCAACTTTATTTAGGGGCTCTTGCAGACCTTCCAGTGTGTCTGTGATAATAGCTGTGTCATTGGGATATCTTAGGTTGTTGATTTTTATGCCATTTTTAGTCAAGCCTTCTTTGCAGTTGTGCAATGCGTTCTCTATGATTTTATTACTGTAGATATTAAACAATAGTGGAGACAATATGCAACCCTGGCGAACACCTCTCCGTATTCGAATATCTTCGGACAATTGGCCATTATCTGAGCTGTCTGGTTCCAGTATATGTTGGCAATTATATTTAGGTCTCGATTATCTAGACCAACTTTGAGATATTCTATGAGCTTTTCGTGCTGGAGTCGATCAAAAGCCTTCTCATAATCTATGAAACAGGATATACTGGCACCGACACATCCCTAGAACGTTGATTCAAGACCTGAACACCGAATAATAACTCCTCCAGTATTAAAACAACTTTTTTTCAGAAGTTTCTGAAGTCAGGGCATCTAACCAAAATTTTTAAACAATTTCATAGACTTTTTGCGCATGGAAACTCTGGTCGTCAAGAAGCCACATTTTTTGTCTTCTATAACATAAACGAAGCTTTAATCATCAATAAAAACAAAACTTTACTTCATGGTCTATTCCAGAAAAACTGAAACAAGGATTGTGCTGATCCAATAAAACGATATACTTAAGTCAATAAGACCAATTGACAAAGATGTAATAATACGAATAATAGTCACAGATACAGCTGGAATTTGACGTAAATTATAAAATTAAATAGCTAGTGTACCATTTAACAGCATAAAGTTCCTCTCCGCCCATGTCGAATCGACAGTGGAGGCGCATCTCGGATCGTGGATCTTGGACCGGCGGTGCCGTCATATTGGTCAGCCGGAAGCAATCACTTTCGTGCGCTGGAACAAAGAAAAAAGTTAATTGAAACCTGCTTAAATGAGTTTCCTGATTACTGGCAAGCAGCAGTGAATAGGAGATGGGCCGCCCTATACTTTTCTTATTTTACGATGCGCCACCTAATTGATTTTAAATGGGACTATAGATTGTTTTTGTGCCTTCGATATATTAATTTTCCCCCCGTCGACTTTCATTACAAGCGAAAATGATAGGTTCACGTCGGAAAAAGTTTACGGAGAATATCAATGCAGCTTTTTTTAATTATCCTAGTAACGAGCCCTGGTATAATCCTATTAAACACGACTACAAATTTAAATTATTTTCTTTTCTTCTGTGAAATGTAGATTTTATTCTAAAACTAGGAAACCGTGAAGGTCAAATATCCAATTTTTTCAAGTGGATACTAGGCACGTACTTATCCAAAGTTTGGAAGTTTAGTTATTTGTAGCTAATAAATATTCCTAAAGCTTCAAAAACTTTTCGCCATTCCCATACCTGTATGTATAATATTTTCTATTATTGTTAGAAATCTTTATATATAAATAGACGAAAGAAAGTACATTCTACTACGATGCAGGTGTACCAAAAAATATAATTGTATAACAATTATCTTCGCCTATAAATGATAATTAATTATCTGCCTGAGTAATCACCTTCGTTCAAATTCAAGCAGGGGTGAAATCGGAGGAGCTTTATTCATAGTACAACCTAATTGGGACTGTTTTGCTCAATCATTTCAGTTTCCTTGAGCTATTTTTGCAATACCATTTTCTGCAAATTTTAAGGAAAAGTTAATACAAGCGGCATGTTTAATTTGAAAGTATTTGATAGTCTTTTCAATAACCGAAATCGATACTGCTCATGGATCGAAACACATTTTTTTTAAAAGGAGTATTGGTTTCGATTTTTTAAAAATCACAGAGACGAAAGCCACATGTTTGGCTTGTTAATTTTTAACGAGGCTCTTTTTAAATACGTGCATATCATACATGAAAAGATAATGAACATTTCCTTTTATTCTTATCTGAGTTTATACAAAAGTTACTATACCTATCGATAAACTATCCATAATTATTATCTGATAATTTTCCTCATATAATAACATCGAAAAAGGATTTGTCACCGGGTTTTACTACCGATATCTGCATTAAATTTATTTGTGTTGGTGCTCCATTCCGGGGGATAACAAAAGAGCAACGGTTTCCTTCGGCTAAAGGAAACACATAAACCCAGTCCCGGAGTCTCTTCAACCGTTAAGAGATAAAGAAAAGGTCCGTGCCGGCTGCAAAAAATCCTTTGAAATGCATTGATCATACGGACCAGAGTCTGCATAGGATGCACGTACTAAGAATTTGTGCTGAATGGATGTTTGAGATTTGGCGATTTTTTCCTTTCAAAGGGAATAAGATTGCTGGAATTGGAGATTTATGATGGAGTTGAAAAAAGAATTAGATGGAAACGATTTACCTGTAGAAGAGTTATGCTCTAGGCTAGGAGTGGAAAAATATTTTTGGTGAAAATTATATTACTATGTATGTATGTATCTACTTTACCTAATTATATAATTTCTAAGTGTTTTTCAAGTCACAAAAGCTAAAGTTTAACTTGACTGTAATGCATAATATCATGCTCAAGTAGATGTAACATTTATATCACATTGACGTGAACCATATTATGTAACAAAATTTTGATGATCATCCGACAATGCCTCACAAAATCCGCTCCTAACTCAATCAATATTCTAGAAGTTCTGACGCGTATTTATATATTCTCAATCAAAATTAAATGCTCTTTAAGATAAAAAAAACAATTGAATCATTTGTCCCAGATAGTATTCGAGATGTTGAGCCACAAATTTGAAACTTGGTCTCAAATTTTGAAAAACCTCCAAAGCCGATTATCTCGAAAGTGAACCCCAACTGACCTTTTTTGAGCCCAAATCGAGATCAACAGTTGGACGAAATTTCGTAACAGCTTTTCTGGTTTCCTGGTTCAGTAAATTTTACATAAATATTTATTATTAGTATTAGTATTCACATAAGACTTATATATGTTAATATGATATTAAAAACCTACGTAAGTGCTGTATAATAAAAACTATAATAATAGTTATTAACACATAAATATTATATAAATGTTACCGTAATTTACGTAATCTTACATAGATCCTGGGCTCTGCGAGACAGTGAAGTAAGAATCGAGATTTTACTCATTGTTACAGACTGGTTAGCTTATTATCTTATCTCGTCACAAGCCAGCATACCAAATCAGGAAATAAGATTAGAATAACAACTATAAGGTTGAATGTCGATTGATTAGTCGCGAAGGTGGTTTGCATTTTTGAGATTAAATTCCACACTACCTCAAGGCCAAGGTGTTTTTAAATGATTCATTCATATATCTAACAGAATCTAGAAGCGATAGAAGCATATATCTAGTCTAAGGTAATGTCAGTTAGCTTGTGACTTGAATTGTTTTTCTCAAAACCACAATTTTCACTTCAGAAAGACGATCTGCATTCGTTTCACTCCTGTGTCGCTACGACTGTCGGTTCTTTGTCCGGCCGTATCTGGGATCTACTCGTTTTTCCAGATAATTCTTATGATTTCGTGTAATTTGAATGTGGCTGTGTTTCCGACATGTTTCAAGAGATCGGGGATTATCGTGGCTTTACCCAGAGATTTATTGTTTTTCAACTTTTTCAGGCGTTTTCAATTTCCATTCGAGAGGGGTATACTTCCCGCATTTCCGCAGTTTGGAAGCTGGCCAGTTCTTGGTTGTTTGTATAATCCTGGTTAAGTAGGTATTTGTTGAAAGTAATATTTCCCATGTTTGCAGCATTTGATTTTGCCTGGGTTACTAGATCTCCGTTGTCATCCTTGATGCGATGTTCTTGGTTCTTGGTCTAAAGCCATTCTTTCTTGTTTTTACTGTTTTATAGAATTTCCTAGTATAGTTCCTTTCATCGACTTCCAGCTTCTGCAACTCCTGATTTTGTTGTTTTTTTTTTCCTCTCTTAGTAGTTCATTAGCCTCTCTTCTTAGTTGTCTGAATTTATTGTTATTGTCTTTAGTAGGATTCTGCATCATTACTAGTTTCTATTTCTGTTTCTTGAGTCTACTCCCACAGTGACCCTTGCTGCCTCTTTGATTGCCTCGGAGAGTATTTTCCAACTCTTGTCGATGTCATCTGTGTTTGTAATTTCTTGGCTTGTAACGCTCTTTTGTCGAAACAAAAGAATGCTCATAATTGTGCTCGACTATGCTCAATGGTTGTTTAGCTTGGGGTGGTCCTTGGTATTGGTACAGAAACTGGTCTAGTTTGTATAAAATTATTTTGATTACCAAAGAATAGCCAAACTAGACACTATTCGAATAATTAGTTATTGTTTAAAAAGATAAATGCAAAAATCTGAAAAGGTAAAATAAATCCAATAGCTATCTGACATTCAACCCCTTCAAGAAAAACACAAGTTGTGGAATTCTAAAAACAATAATTTATTAACCAAATGTCGAACTTGTTCATTAAAAATTTGTTGACAGGATTGCGAACTCGTTGTTCAATTGTTCAAAGGAGAATATTGTTCAGTATCCAAATTTTTTAAACAAAAATTAGGCAGCTTTCCAAAAGCAATACTTAATTTAAATAGGTATAATAAACGATTGAAATTCAAAAACAATTAAATAGATACCAACAATGAGAATTACCTAAGTATAATTGTTGAAGTCATGACACCATTAACCGTTTAATTTTTGACTCGAAAGTCAATCAAATCAATAAAAATAGTTATTTATGTATCAAGGGAATTATGCAGGTGTTAATACCCCAGGGCAACGTTTGTGTCCCGAGGGCCTCCGGCCCGAGGGACACCAATTGCCCGTGGGTATTAACTCCTGATAATTCCCGTGGTACATAGATAATTTTATATCCTACTGAATTTACCGTATTCTGTCTATTTTTATAAAGGAATAAGCCATAAATCAAAATTTCTATTTTTTGTCAAAGTGTTACCTATTCAAGGTAAAAGCGGGAGTTATGGAAATCCTTAACTCCCTTGGGAGTTATGATATCCTTAACTCCCTTCCTTAACTCCCTTGGGAGTTATGAAAATCCTTAACTCCCTTGGGAGTTAAGACCCTGTTTATGATTATCGTAACCAAGGTATTATATGGTTTTAATAGTTCAGTAGGATATAAACAAATTTATAAATGCATAAAGGTAATAAATAATCCCTAGGGAGTGATAAATGCCAAAGACGGGCTATATGAAATCAAGGATATCGGGGAGAGCTCTACCGTCTTACCTGTAATTAAAATTCAAAATATGTAAACATAAGACTTGACTTTAACTACCTAAAGATTTTACATTGGTTAACCTTGTAGAACTACCACCTTATTGATTTGAAATTAAAAGTTAAATTAACCTTTTAAAGGTTAATGAATCCACAATATATTATATCGATCAGTACTCGATATAAAGGAAATAAATTTATAATAATCACAATAATGATACATAATTATTAGATACTAGATAATGATGAAGAAAACGATAATAAAGGTAAATATCTGATTATGATAATGATTAATTAATTAAATTAATAATTATATTTAAACTGTAGTTAGCTATTCCAGCCAAATACTACTATACGGTAAACGAGTCGGTAATTGATTTTACAAAGATATTAATTAGCTAATGGAGCTAAACGATAGGGGGCGATAAAGAAAAGGTAAGTTACGGTAATTAATATGGCACATTTTAAGAGACCCATAGGTAAATAATTATACAAGCCTGGACGGAATTCTTGTAAAGACTCGGAAGTTTTCACAAACTTGAGATCTGGAAGTACCAAACTGGCTGAAGATAACCAAATAATGGTTGGGGATCAACTTCTTACAGGACACCAACATTCCTTGAAAAAGGGGGCCCAGATTTACTCTGAGTTGCAAAACAGCATGGTCTCAAATTTAGCAACTTTCATCTGGATAGGTGCAGTCACGGATTT